TAACAAAGCGAATGAGTTCCACGATGTGAACTGCGAGGTGGTGGCGGTTTCTGTGGACTCCCACTTCAGCCACCTGGCCTGGATAAATACACCGCGCAAGGTATGGATGGAGCAGCTCCTGGCAGCTTCCCTCCTTGGTTTGTTTTCTTTCCACAGGAGCTCCTGAGAAGAATAAGCAGTTCTGCAAACATTGATTATGATAAATAAACCATCTGTAGCGACATGTTAAGTATTTTCTGCCTTTGACAGGACTTAGACTGAAGTTCTTTTAAGTCTTTCTGTTGTTGATCTCTTCCTCCGTAATTTGTTTAGTGGGGTTTGTTTTCTTAATTTTGCTCTCTTTAGTCCTGTAGGTTACATCATATATTTTACGTTTATCTTCAGAGACAGGCATTAAGTACCCATGTCGGTGTCCTAGGCTGCTTGTGACAGCTGATGGTTTGTGAGGGATGTCACAGAAAATGAAAGCAGTTGTTCTGCTTCCATTCTGAAGCTGCTACTGCGAGGTACTAATTAACAACAACCAGTGTAATGGAGCATTTTTAATACTGAAATCTTTTCAGCGAATGAGAATTGTTTCTGTAACATAAATTGAGGTATTTTGGTTTCTTCTGGGCAAGAACGTGATGAAGATGATGTTTTTTTTTTTTTTTTTTCCAAGAGAATTCTCTTTCATTGTGCATATAAAATTGCATGCTTTTGATAACATAAAGGTTAGATGTAGGCAGTTAGAAGTGCCACAGGCGGGTGTGGTGTAATCACTTCTTACATGTATGGCCAGGGGGACAGCAGCCCACAAAAAGTGCTTATCACAGTTGAACTGGTCTGCCTCCAGGTACTTGGCTTTTCCTTGATAACATAAGAAGGAAAAAAGTTTGCTTAATTTAATGTGATTTGGCTGAACCAATCAAGAGTATTTAATCTTCTGCGTGTTTTGCTAAAGTTCTGAAATGTGATTACAAACTGCCTTCATTGCTTTATGGGGAAGTAGTTCAGCATGCACCACTCATGCCTTGTTTCATGCATGCGTAGCAAAACATTCTGCAGGGTAGAAGGAATTCCATAATGGTGCAGATGTGGAAACTGACACCCAGAGGAGTTAAAGCTTAGGTTCTTTTGACATCTCCCTGCATATTACAACTCTGCTGCAGGCAAGAATTTGCAAGGTCAGGGTCTAAGTGACAGAGTACACAATGATCCACTGATGATGGCTGGAGTAGAAAAGCTAACAAATGCCAGTCCTATTTCAAGGATAACAGAGTTTATCTCTCTTGCTGTTCCAATGTGTTGTAAAAATCAAAGCAATCTTGGTTGACTTTCCAAATAGTATTTAAACTTAAGGGAGATTGCATGCACTGCATACAGAGAGCAGCAGAATTCTGACATACCTGGTATGTTTGTGAGAAGCCTTGTGTTTCATCTGTATAATGTACAAGTTTCTCTTCCCTCCTCACCACATTTAATCTTGTTCAGTTTTGATCACTTAAATATGTAATAGGAATTCTTATATTCCAAGCTCCTACATGAGGTACAGAGGAAATCATGGAAATACAACTGTTGTCACTGGTACCTTTTGCCAGCAAAATAAGCAATTGTAAAGTTCTCAGTGCTAGACAACAACTGTTTGAGTGCTTTTTGGAGCAAAACAAACGAAAACCCAAGAACCACTCCAGGTGAACTTCATGGTGTTTTGTTGTTAATGTACCTTTGAGAGCACTGAATCCAGTCTCAGGGTTAATCCTAAGCAGCACCAGTTAACGAAATGGGATCTTGCTTTTTTCTCCAGAGTGGCGGTTTGGGCAAAATGAATATTCCAGTTCTGTCAGACCTCACGAAACAAATCTCCCGTGATTATGGTGTTCTGCTAGAAGGACCTGGCATTGCACTAAGGTAATGAATGACTGCTGATGATTCAGTTTTCTCCAAGAGAAACTGTACAGGGATCACATGAATGCTGAAAGATGCAACTTCTGTGGCCTTGCTGCTGACCCTCATCCCAGGAAAAGGGCGCGTGTCCATTATGGCAAAGTTGAGAATTTTTCAGACTTCTCTGAGGATGGATGCAGAGAACAGCTGGCCACTCTGTTCTGAGGAAGGAAGAGGAGAGTTGGATAAAGAGCATTTTTCAATTTCTATGCTTTTCATAATTTTTTTTCTCTTTTTCTGAAAGGGGAAGAGAGAGTGTGTGAATTTGTGAGTGCGAAGTTCGTAGGGCTGTAGTCCTAGAGGCCACTACAGTCAAGCCTAGTTATCCTTGATGCTTTTTACTCCATGGAAATACAAGCAAATGGTGGTCCTTAAAAGTAAACAGTTGCCTAGGAGTCTATTAGGGACATCCAGATTCTTCATTTCTTTTCATTAGAAGCTTTATGCTGGCTATAATCCCCAAAGTAATCCTATATTCTTAGTGTTCAGGTGCAGGCTTTTCTGTGCCATGGAGGTGTGGAGGGAAGTGTTTCATTTGATTTCTTTCCAGTGAAAGAGTGGCAAAAGTCCACAGAAGGCTGCTTAATGTTTTGATTCAATGTTGAATCAGTATTGTTCATTGTTCTAGGTTGCCCTAATCTGTGCTGTTATTTTTCACTTCAAAATAGAAGCTTCTTTGTTGACTTCAGACATTTGTTTCCGAATCTCACCCTACTAATTAATTTGTTCTCTAATTTCCACAATGGCTTATATATAACAGAAATTAACTTAGTAGTTTATTGCATAAGCAGCTCTTCATTCAGTGCCTTTGGATTTTCATATAAAAAAGATACAGGAAGGATTCTAGCTATCAGCTTTGAAATACAGAATGAATTAGAAGTTCTATCTTGTACTTCTTGCTATCTTAATAGTCTTGATGTCTACTGCATAATTTCACAACACCATACCAGTTTGTGGACTCTTAGCTTTTGATCACTGTACTAACAATACATCAAATGCAGTATTGCTGCTCCTGAGCCTGAAGTGTACATCTAACTACCACCCTGAAATTGTTCATCTGTTTCTTGGCTTTGATCTTTAAATACAACTTGCATTCCTGAGATTTTCACTCAATTGCAGAGGTCTCTTCATCATTGATCCAAATGGGGTCATCAAGCATCTGAGCGTCAATGATCTCCCTGTCGGTCGCAGTGTGGAAGAGACCCTTCGCTTGGTGAAAGCATTCCAGTATGTGGAAACACATGGAGAGGTTTGCCCAGCAAACTGGACTCCAGATTCCCCTACAGTAAGTGTCTGCTAAATATCACTGTTCTAAATATAGACACTGGCATGTTCTTGTGCGTCCCAAGGGATAAGAACTGCTTTAATACAAAGTGCTTCAATGAATCTCTTCCTGTTTTTCTAAGCCTGAGGCTTTCACTGGACCAATTCAGTTTATTTGTATGATACTAAATGTGTGATTTCTGTGAAGAAAGTCACTGACTTTCTTTTAGAAAACGCTGTTTGTATTTCAAATGTTTGCACTTTCCAGCAGTTGTCTATGGATTTTTACTTGCTTCATGCCTTGCTTGATATCGAGCAGGAGCAGCGTGTTACGTATACTTCAAACTGGCAAGTAGGGGCTCATACTTCTTCCAGCCAAGTGCAGAAACAGAAATAACTTAATGTTTTTTATTAAAATATTTGTTTCTTGGATAAAATGTCAAGTCCATAACTTTTATATCGCAGTTACATCATACAATAACTACTTTTTTCTTCTTGACAGATCAAACCAAGTCCAAAGGCTTCTAAAGAATATTTTGACACACATTTTGACACATAAACACTGAAGCGCAGATGAAACTTAGTTGCTATATGCTGAAGACGTTAAGTGGCTGTGATTATGGAAGAAGAAAGGTTCTCATTTCCTCATGTTTTAAAACAATAATTAAATGCTGAAATACTTATTGCCTCTCTTGCCTTTTTTAAAAAAGAATAAGGTAAAAAATAAAGCTTTATTTTCCCCTTCAGCAAGTTAAGTTCTATGCATGCCTGTAACCAGAATGTGACAAGTGAATGAAAAACCGTTATGTTCCAATTTGTTCTTTTTAGTTTGTTTTCCCTCTTTGCTTAACTAGCTTTGAGAAAAAGAAAACTCCCACTTTGCTTCTCTTGCATGATGGATGCCCTTCTGTAATGAGCTGGAAACCGTGCAAGTGGACAATACAGAAAACAGTTTTGACAGAGTTCTTTTAAAGTATTTTTTTTCAGGGGATGAAATGACACGCACAAGAAAGTTTCTGTCCACAGTATAAGATCAATGTATGTACAAATTAAATCTTGCCAAATACAAAATGTCAAAATACAGTGCAGCTGCACAGGTTAACAGGTATTATGAGCTTGCATTCTGGCTAGGAGATAATTAAAAATTTGCACTGCACTACTGTGCTTACTGGAGCTTAATAACAATCTTCCTTCATTTAAAGCCTTGTTTGTCTGCTTGAATCTGCCTCCAGAAAATGTAAAAGTCGATTGTAAATTGTACCATTTAAAAGAATATAGCATACCTGCATTTGTGGTACCATCAATAAATCCTAGTACTGACTTGCAGTAGCTGTCTTTGCTTGCTTTCTGCTTCTCTCCCACATCATCATCTCTCTCTTCTGAGCAGCCTGCCATTGCATTTTGTGCCTTTGTTTGCAGCAGCCAGCTGTGCTGGCTTTGTGTGGGGGTGAGGAGGGATGCAGCCAGACAAGTGCTGTGAGGCTCACTTGGAGGCTGGTGTGCTGCTGCCACTGGAGGAACTGAAACGATTCTGAACAGGTTTCTCAGCATCTCCCCTTGTGAGCAGTGGGCGGAAGATAAAGGAACCAGCTGGCAAAGGCGCCAGTTCCCAAATTAGCCCTCTAATAGAGTCAGTGCTGCAATGTAGCTGAAAGGAAGGAAAAACAGGGAAAGGCCACGTTGTGGGTCGCAGTACTTGCAAATACCTTTGCAGCACCAGCATTTCGGTTCAGTTTGTTATAAGTACCCAAGTACCTCTGCCGTTTTTCAATAAAACTCACCTCCTGCACCTACCGTATGTGAAGCTGGGCCTCTGCGCTAACACAGAGCAACCTGACAGTGCTTTCGATGGCAGCTGTACGCGAGCTCCCGTGGCTGGCGCGCCATTCTTCACCAGGCCGCGTGGTTCCCTTCCCTCGGCTCGCTCCCTTTAACTTCCCGCACACACGCGGGCGTTTCTGGCAGCCTCGCCGCTTTACCCCGCGCTCCCTTTGCTCAGAAGGACGGCGATCCACCCGGAGCGGCAGCCGCTCCCGCCGCACCTCGGATCCCCGCAGCCCCGGCCGTGCCCGGGCGGAGCGTGCAGCGATCGGACCGTCCCCCGGCATCGCCTTCCGGTGCCGCGGCTCCATGGACGCCAACCTGCGGCTCTGGAGGGCTGAGGGCCCGGTGAGGCGGCGGGCAGCAGCAGGGCGAGCCGCGGGGCGTGGGACGGGACCGGGCGGGAGGAGGGAGAGGCCGCGGGGCTCCTCGGAACGGGCAGCGCGCCATTAACGGCGTCACCCACACGCGTGTCTCCTGCAGTCTTTTTGGCAGAGGCTTCTTCTGTGGGCGGATGTCTTAGACCCCCTGCACCTCCTGAAGTCCGCGGTGAGTGCTCCGGTGCCGTTCTGTCGGGTGTGCGCGGTGCTGCGCGCTGCAGAGCGCTCTGATGCTCCTTCACGTGTCCTTCAGAAGGGAATTCTGCTCGAGCGCGGCTCGTCTGCAGGCTCTCTATAGCACAGAATGACTGCGAGACCAAGCGCCGGGTGCTGCGCTTCGGTGACATGCATCGCTGCAGGTTGGGGTTAGAGAGTCTGGGAAGCTGCGCTGTGGAAAGGATCTGGAGGTGCTGGTTGATGCTCGGCTGAATGTGTGCCCAGGTGGCCGAGGAGGCCAGCGGGTCCTGCCCAGAGCCAGCAGTAGTGCAGCCGGGAGCAGGAGGTGACCGTTCCTCTGTATTGGCACTGGTGGGGCTGCACCTCAGTGCTGTGCTCAGTTCTGGGCCCCTCACTACAACAAAGACATCAGGAACCCGCAGGATGCTTGGAGATGGGCAACAGAGCTGTGAGGATCTGGAACTCAGATCTTGTGGGGAGCAGATGAGAGAATTGGGATGGTTTAATCTGGAGAAGAGATCTCGTTGCACTCTACGTTGCCCTACAAGAAGGCTGTGGCAATAAGATGAGAGATGATGGCTTCCAGTTGTGCCAGGGGAGGTTCAGGTTAGGTAGCAGGAACAGTGTCTTTCTGTAGTTCCATCTGTGTTAGATATGACAGAGGAAATTTAATTTAATACTTGTACACTAAATATATGAACACCAAAGTAAACTTTGGTAGTACATTCAGGAATTTGGAGGGCTGAGATCACACCTCCTTGCGTTAGGATACGCAGTTACACACAGAGATACACCTGCTGAAGAAAACTCCAGTCATCTCATAAAGCCTCCTAGGAGACTTTCTGTTTAGACAGCTGTAGCAGAAATGCTAAGTCACAGCTTGAAGCAGTGATTGAGCACCTGGTGGAAGGCAGGGCCAGCCCAGGGGAGCTCAGGTGCATGCAGTGCAGCTGAGTGACTGCAAGGGATGGAGCCAGGATCCACTCCTTCCCAGCCCTCATTTAAGGGTTGGCAGTGGAGTTTGCCAGCACACTTCATTATTGCTTTCATTACTCTTGTGAGGGATGGGTGTACTGGCTTGATGTCGCAGGTTTGTGTTTATAGTATCACAGCTGATATGCTGTACTCTAGACTATTGAAATCTGAGTTATTTTTTGTTTGCTTTCTTTTTTTTTTTTTTTCTCTAATACAGGATGAAATAAGAAGAGCCCGGTTATTATTAGAAAACAATGAAAAGACCCAAAGTGAGCCCCTACAGAATCATCAGGTATCTTAGAGCACAGCTGATAGAAAATAGAGATGTCTTTTTTTCATGATTGAAATACTTGATGTTAGTGTAAGATCAGACAGAATATTGAGATTTGGTAACAAGGGATAATACAAGAAAACCTCTTTATAACAGAAATGTTTCTATAATGTGGAAGGAATTTCTTTGGATGACCGCTGTCAAATTTCAGTGTAATCATTCTGGAGAACATGCAAAACGTGCAAAATATTTACAGAGTGCATTTTGTGTTTTTTGGTGTTGTATCATCACACAGAGCGCAGGTTGGTTTGGTTTCACCTCTCATGAAATGAGCAGTAGCAGTAGCTGGGGGGGAAACCTCCTCGTGGAGTTGCTGGGAGGAAGTGCTGAAGTTGCTTCATTAGAAGGGTCTTGCTTTTGTTTCAGTGGAGACTCTGCTGTACCCGTATGGCATTTTGTACCCTGTGTGGCAGAGCCTGAAAGGAGAACCGAAATATTCAGTGGCTGTAGAAAAGCCCAAGTCTTAACAATAAGTCTTTAGGCTTTTAGCCATATTTAAGTGTTGTTATTTTCTGTTCTGAATACTGGCTTATTTAAAATTTACTTGCTATAGTATGTGTTTAGTATTAATAGCATATGAGACATGACTAGATTATATTCAGCAAAGTATGTGGGGTGAAATTTTAGGGAAAAAATGAAAGGGATGTGAACACACAACACTGCATAAAAGTGAGTTATCAGAAAAAAATGATGTAGTAAATTTAGAAACAAGATTTCAGTCATGCTTTTTGAAAGTTTCATTACTAACCTGATTCTCAAATTATTTAGACAAAACAAGCCTTCCTGCTGAGCCTGGTAAGTTTCCAAATGACTTAGAAATCAATTTTCTTTTCTTTCTTATTTAAGTATGGAACAGGTGGTCTAATTTTTTTTTTCTTCTTCTAAGGCCAGTGTACATCCTGATACAGGCAGGACAATTCCTGTTTTCTTCAGACCTCCAGGTGAGCTTCCTTCAGAGAAGCACGTAACTAAAGCATCAGTGGGGATGGCAGATAGTAAATATTCCATGCAGTACCACGCAGTGGTGCTTTTCTCTGTATGGGAACCAAGTGGACTATTATCCCTGTTAGTTGCATTCTTATTTTTTTGAAGATTTATTTATTCCTACAGTCTGCTTGAAAATGAACATTCTTCTATGAGCACTCATGGCTGTGGCAGCCTTTGTTGCCAGTGTCTCTTTGAGTAGTCATGCAGTTTGTTGGTCATACAGTTTCTAAGTGGCTTTTATGATTGGGGTTCATGGGGACTCCTTTTGGCTATAAGCCAAGACCAGATGCTTTCATTTCTTGAATGAGGAATGAGAGACAAAGTTTATCATTGTTTTTTACATTTATTTGATGAACAAGTGTTTTATTGACAGCTGAAACTAAAGGAGGGGGAGCTAGGAAATTTTCTGTTTAAAATATATAAATAAATTCAATCTGGACTCGCAGTAGTTACTGTTACTAAAATAAAGGTTTCTTTCTTTTTAGCTTTCCTGCCTGTAACTCTTCCATTGGTAAGTAGCAATGAGAAGTACCAGTGCACCACTTGGCTTACATTTTCCAGAGTTAAATTCTTTTGAAAGGGAATGGGAAGTTTTAGGCATCTCAGCTGTGTTTTCTTTGAGGATGCTTCACACTGATAGCTTGGTGAGACCTCAAGGAAGGTCTGATGTTCTTATTTTCTGTCTGATTTGGAGAAGGAGTTGGGAAGTAACTACTAAAATGTTGACAGGAGGTCTGTTACATCTAGTATTTACATAAATAAAACCTGTCAGTCCCTGACTCCTTTATTTCTTTAATTACATCTGTAGTATCTAACTTATTCTATTTAAACTTCACAGGCACAAATACAACTTCTACTTTGAGTAAGAAAGCATCTTGCTCAATTGTTTTAATCACTCTGTGTGTCTGTGTTTTATGTTGGGTAGACAAAGTGAGTATATCACATCTGTTTCAAGAAAGTGTGTTAGCCTAAAATCAAGGTAAATGGCTTTTGGCACTCACTGGAGCCTTTGGCACTGCCACAACCAGTCACACAGCAGCACACTTCATGCTGTAGGCAGCCACTGCTCACCAACGACTCCTAAATTCATCAGACTAATTTTCCTGTGGGGTTTTTCTCTTAGGTCATGTCTTCGTCGCTTCAGCTGCAGGCAAAACAGATTTTTCTTTGTCAGGTAACTGCCTCTTTCTACATTTATAAGTCTTCTTGTCTCTGTTCCAAATTCCTTCTTGCTTATAATCTCTCCTTTCTGCAGTTCGCGTTTCATGCATACACCACAGGATTTACCCTGTTAAATGGAAATTGTACCACTAAGGATGAAGTACGTATTTATTTTTATTTTGGGGATCATTTTCATTACACAGGACCATTTTGAAAGTGATTCACAAGTGTACTCATGTAGTCATGTTTCTTCTGTCCTTAGGAGAACTCGCTTCACCAAAAGCAAATCTTGCTTGGTGTGGGGGCCGTTTCCTACGCAGCACTTCTGGGTGTATGTATTTGTTTATGATTGCTTTCTGGATAATATCTCCTGAGAAGGCCCTGAGATAACCACCCTGCCACAATCCTTCAGAATAGCCCTGTAAAGCTCCACTCTGATGTCTTCCTCAAGAACAACTGAGAACAAGAATTTTCATCCATCAGCCTATGCCTTACTCAGCTTCCTCTGTTGCTTCCTGTGATGTCCTTCTTAATTTTGTTTTTAACACTACTAGAGAATGGGTGGTGAGAGGAAGTGACCAGAGTTTACAAACACAGAGCAGCTCTATGTGTTGCTGAAGTTGCTGCCTCATATTGTGCTGTCAAAGATAACTGTCTCGCTCTAAACAGCTGGTAAAATTGGTCCAAGTCTCTGTGTTCATACTACTGTCATATGTAACAGTGTTTAGTAGATTTTATTATATTGTTTTATAGATTTTCTTATGGAAATGTGTGATCATAAAAACCTTTAGTAACTAGAAAGCATATCTATTTTGTTGAAATACTAAATCACATAATTTGCTTGGTTTTATAGATGGTATCTAAGTACCAAGTTGCAGAATTATTTTCCTAGGCTGTTGCACATACTGAAAAACTGTACATTCTTTCTAATAGAAAGTGCTTGTTTCCTCCCAATGCATTAGGCTTTTCCTTTTTACTTTATGGACCGGTACACGTTGAAGAGCCCAGTAACAAATCTAGTTGTCAAAAGGCTTCTACCTGCTCCTCTTTTAGGTGAGTAAAAAGGAATCATTCATTATGTAGCAGATCTGAGGGCTGTTTGCTGCCTCTGACAGCAGCATTTTCTTGCCCTTGCATGGATGCTGTCTATTACCCCCTTCTTCGACTGCCTTTGCTGGGTACTGTCCTTCTGTTAATTCCCTTTATGGGAATTAACACTCACTGGTCAGGGCAGCAACGTTTATTTGATGCATACTGATTGTCACTTCTAGAAGTGCAGAGCAACTTCCTGATTTTTGTATGCGTGACATACAACTATTTCTGTGAAGCAATACAGGGATGCAGCTGACTTTTTATTTGCCTGGATGAACTTGGATATTATTCCTGAATCTACCAGGACTGCCAGGAGGGATCAGTGCAGTAGCACTGGAGCTGGTGGCACATAGGTGCCTTGTTGTGGCACATAGGTGACACCAGAGTGCAGCACAGCTCTAGCTGTGCACTGGCATAGTTTCTTACTCATGTTGTGGCTGCTGCTGGCTGTGTAACTGCTGACAGTGTATGAAGAGAGAGGGGTTACATTAACCTTGTGAGGGAATGAGACCCATTTTAAAATGTGCTTCCATTTTCTTAAATGGAGAGAGAAACCTGAGGGTTATTGATTATTGTTATCCAGCATTTGAAAAATGCCATGTTTTACACTGATGTCTTTATTAGTTTTTGGCAGAGCTGCTCAATAAAGAGAGAAATCTTCTATTTCAAACAAGGTCAGTTTGGCAGACTGTCCTGTTATGCTTAGATCTTAGTCTAGAAGGGAAAACCACATAGATTAACTCCTTTAATACAACCTTTAAAAGTGCCAGTGGTTTTGGTTTGTGTTTTCAGTGGCTGATTGTGGGTGGATGATCGATTGATTGATCATCTACAAGCATCTTGTGGAGTTAGATCTGGAGGAGACCAAAACGTTCTCATCTAGGATCCATCTGGGGCTCTGTCAGACGTGACTGAGACACACAATGACATGATGGAACATCTTTGTCCATAATAACAATGCATCTTTTGGGAATGATGCCTTAACGTTTTGCTCGAGCTTCTGAAACAAGAATTAAGATCTCAGTTAGATTTTATGGGGAAATCTCTTCCTAAGCAGCCAGGTAATTCATTTGTGAACTGTTGAACTGGAAATATGAAATGTACACAATATAGTTATTGAGATACCCTCACTGGAGCTTCTAAAGCAAAATCCTTTTTAACTCTGCAGGCTTGATGAATGCTTTTACTGTGGTAGCAGTGAGAAGCGCAGAATTTGAGAATGGAATTGAAGTGATGGACAGGAATGGGAAGGTTGTAGGAGTGTCAAAGAAGGCTGGTGAGAAGGTAGGCAAGGTGTGGGAGGCCTCTCTTGACTTGCCTTTCATTTCCTCCTTACATCTAAACATTGTGGTGAGAGACAGTTTGCTGTACTAAACTGAGGAATCCCACATCAGGTACTGAATCTTGGACTGGGCTTGGGCTAGGAACCAGGCTGGCATCTGTCTTGTGTCCCCAAGGGTAGGCAGCTTCCCCAAGCCAATGTGCCAAGCACCAGAGTTAAACCACAGAACAATAGCACAGGCTCTTCTGCTTTCCAGCTCACCTCGGAAGGAGGCAGGACTGCTCAAGTTTCTTCTGACAGCACACCTCAGAGAAAAGCTCTTTATAGTAAATAGTACATGCATCATCAAGAGCAGGAATACTGTTTAAAGGCTCTGCCTCTCAAAGGGTGACTTCTTGATCTGCAACGTGATGATGCATTTTATGCTCAAGCTTCAGTTGCTGACCATTCTGGTTCTGTATTTTCTGCTTTCTTTGATCGTCTAAAGAAATTAAACAAAGATTCATATTTATGTGCTGTCAGTGACCCTCCTTTTCTATGCATTAGAGGAGGAAAAAGCTAAGTGAGCATAAGGATCTGTGAAGAGCTACAGAGAGAATATTTCATGCAAGGTAGTTAGCATGTCCAGAGAGTATGACCAGTCAGAAAGAGTTCAGCATAACTTTAAAAACAAACAAACAACAAATAAGTAGATCTGAATTGGAGAACTCAGTACGGCTTTGTTAAGGAGTTTCTTAGTCACGTATGGAGCACTTTCCATATGTAGGAGTTTAGTTTCCATTCAATCAATTCTCCAGCAAATGATCTTTATCCTTCACTTCCTTGTTGTTTGAAATCGCAGAGTACAAGGCAAAATTACTCACAGAAACATGTGGTATTTGAGGCCATAGAGATCACTGTTTTAATGACTTTTTTGTTGTTGTTGCCCTTCCTGGAGGCCGTTAAAGAAACAGCATTATCAAGAGGAATCTTGTTTGGGACAACATTCTTCCTGCCAGCTGCACTTATGCACTTTGTGGAAAGGTAAGAGATATTTCAAAAGAGTTGGATGTGCTTGGTCAATGTGTGTTCTGATGTTTAGTCTGGCTGTTACTGCTTGCCTACTTTTTCTTTTGGTTCTGGGATACTAATTGCCGTGGAGGACTAGGTGGGAGGCTTCTGTTCAGATAGTGATTAATTTAGGTAAATCAGCGAGCCTTATATCAGCATCTGTGTTTTGATGGCTTGCAGGAAGTTGTCTCTATGAGCATTTCCTTTGTTCTCCCATTTGTCTGTGCTCTCCCAGCACCGAGGTTCCATAACTGTGGTTGGAGTTGCAGTGCCTGGTGTCAAGGTTGTTCATTGCACTTAGCTTGGATTTGACATTTCTGAAGAGATAATATTTGAATTTTCAGTTAAAACTAGATGCCCACTTGGCAAATAGCCATCCATACACTGTAAAACATTTTCTTTGTTTTGCAACGTGTAGAAACTTTATTTCATAAGAATAACTCATTGTATGCTATATCAGAACTTTTAATCTGCCCTTAACTTTTGATAGGAGTTGTCTGTGCTGTGTAAAAGTACTGGTGATTTTACACTGCCTAAATAAATTCTCTGTCCCCTGTGTTAAGTTAAGGACTTCTATTATGAGAAGACACTAAAAATAAAATAAGAAATTGGTAAATTAAAAAAAATAATTGAGTAATGTTGCACAAGGCAGGGTAGGATTGCCAAAAGGAAACGAGTCTGAAAGGAATGAGGATATTCCAAGAAATATCTTCATCAAAGGACTGAAACACTTTAAGATGCGAATGCACCTTCACTTGCTTTGTCATTTTGATCTTGCTGCTTATTTCCTCAATCTTACATTGTTACTTAAGGCCTGCAAAATGCTGCAATTGAATATGAAGCAAAGAACAGGAAGATAGGATTAAAAACATAGGAGATAAGGATTACATGTTTAGGATTTATAAGCCTAGGTTATTGCTTTTCTACAGTTTAGCTACTAAAACAGCACCTTGGTCTCGTTGTCAGGTTATTTTCCAAGGCCAAAGAGATATTTATCTTTTCAATGTCTTTGGCAGAGCGAACACTACAAGAACTCCACGTGCTTTGGCTTCACTGAGGATGCTTCTGACTATGGCAGTGCTGGCAGGGATGTTACCAATTTCACTTGGCATCTTCCCACAGTGTGGTGAGGTAAGTCCTTTGAAATAAACTGGTTTAGGATTATTGTTATATTAAACAGTCATTTTGCATTTCCAGTCAGTGATTTTTAAGGCCGCATAACAAAAATCAGTAGTGTTTAAATGGTTAATGCATCTAAAAGGGGGCAGCAAAGAATCTGTCCATATACTACACAGAGGCTTACAGGACTTGCTGTGCCAGGATTGCTTGTATGTCACTTAACTTTCATCTGAAAAGTGTAGATGTATCACTTGCACAACAGTCTGAAGCAAGCAAGGTCAGGAGAGCTGCCTTGCAGATTACACTCAAGGGTCTCCTGGTGCTTTTCAATCCTGCTGGAGGTAACAAGGGTTGAGATGATAATCTTTGTTTTCAGTAGAAGTCAGCACCAGTCAGAGAGGTAAATCAACTCAGGTAGAATCTCTTCAGCCTGCCTTACTGAACCGTGAGGTGTGTAACCTGTTCCTGGGGGAACCTGCTGACAGGTTTTAAAGGGAAGAACTAGGCATTGGAACCTTGGGGGTTGGAAAAGGACAAGTGAGAGAAGAGCTTGGGTTTTCTTTCTGAGTTTCCTCTCCCTTAAAGCAGTATGAATATTCTCAGAAAATCACAGATGGGGCTCTTGTAATTTCCAGTGTTTGTTCTTACTGGCCTAAAAATACTGGCATCTTATTATTTTTAGGGATTGCTCAATCTGTTGCAGCAACAAGGGTAAACCAGGTGAAAGTGAGGGGATTTATAAGAAATTCTGTGCTGAAAATATGGCTAGTTGTTTCTTCTTGAGTTTCCTAATTGCTCAGTCCCTGATAGAAGATCCCCTTAGTGAGTCACCCAAATACAATCAGCAAAGATAATATTGCTAGAGCTGTGTTTAGATCTTGGGAATACCTCTAGCTTTAAATAAAACACATTTCCTCTTTTGTGTTTGTATATTTAGAAACGTCAGAGAAAAGAAAGAAACAGAAAACCACATAACAAACAAAGAGACCCATGAAAACCCAAACAAACACAAATTACATCTTACTCTTGCTTCTGAATACAGTGCTTTGGCTTGTGCAAAGTTCAATACAGTAGTGAAGACTTACCAGGCTAGGATGGTGTTCATTCTGTTTTTTGTATATTTCAGATAAAACGAGAAGAACTTGAAGCAGAAATTCTGTCATCTACAGAAGAAACAGTATTATTCTACAATAGAGGAATTTAGAGATTGGCTTTTGTATCTAAACGTGGGTTTTGATTAAAGTGAATTCTGAATCTCTCAACAAATTCAGTCAACATCAGTGACTGAATGAATCATGAACTTGTGGTGGCACACAAACCAGAATTGGTGTACAGACAGGCAGGCACTGCAAAATGGTTTTGCAAGCCAAGTCCCCCAGAGAAGTATGTGCACATAACTTAATGCTGTAAACATGATCTGTACCAGAGAACGTTGTTCTAACATCTCAAACTGTTTTGTATGCTTTCTCACACAGTTGATTTCTTGATTAAAGGACTGATCAGGTGATACAAGACTTTATTATTTGACTGTTGCTATAGCTTTTGACACATTGCTTTCCAGGAACACAATTGTAAAGGCAGTACTATCATGAGTCCTTGGGAGAAAGTCAAGCTGGTTCTTTGCAGAAAGCTTTTTACAATTTCATTGTATTTAGGAATGCTTACTTCAAGCAGTGAGACATGAATGAGTTAAACCTTGAAGTGACATTAGGCAAAGCACCCGGACAGCAATGTTACTCTAGTTGAATGGAGTTGCTGAAGAACTGTTCAAAAACTGCATGTCAAAACAGGTTCCAGAGTGACTCCTAATTTTCTCAACATTCTTGAAGGAGTTGTGAGGCCTGAGCCCTCTGAGCTTTAAAACTTGTGGGTTTTTTTTTTCCATGGAAGCCCAAGGGAAGTCCTGTGACTTCACAGCAAACAATGAGGAATCTCCATTTCTGCAGGTTGGCTGCTGATCCTAACTAAAAAGCTGTCTTTTAAGATGTAGCATAAGGTTTATCAGCCTGATGATCTATGCAGCAATAGCAGATGTTAGCAAAGAGAGCTGACAATGCTGGATATAAAAACAGGTGGAATACATGTCCAAAAGCACGTGTGAAAGATGATGAGTTTGGCAGAGGAGTAATCTGCCTTCAGTGCTGGGCTGTAGGCTGTCCCATTGACCCTTGGAGTAGAATTCAAGGCTAGCAGCAGATAGACTCATGGAAGCTTCAGCTCAGTGCTCCGTGGTTATCCATAAAGGAAACAGCCTCAGAAATTAAAGTGGGCAATGAGTTATCAGGGAAAAGCTCCAGAAAGTCAAACTTTAGTTAGAAACTAAACCTAAAACCCTGCTGTTAAAATTTCAGAACTCCACTAACTGAAGTAACTGGAACTCATGTTTAAAATAAGCATTTCCATGAAAACAGAATCCATTGAGGATTACTAAATTAATGGAAATTAGACTAAAACAAGACAAAGTTCAGAAACTCAGTACTACTGGAGAGCAGAAGGGGTAACGGGTTTGCCTGCTCTTGCTTTTCTGTTGTGTCTGCTTCTGATGGCCACAGGGCTGAGACATTTGTCTGAAAACAGCTTTGGTCTGACACAGTGCAGGTGCTGTTATGCTGCTTGCTGTTGTGACTCTCCTCCTAGGGAACAAAATAGAAGAAAGCTCCACAACTGCTAGGAGACCCAGTGGTGCTGATAACCATGGGTGGGGTGATAGCAGAAATAGATTTAAGGTCATGGGAGCTGTAATTTAAGGCACTCCTAAGGCTCTGCGTGACAAGGATAAGATATGCACCAAGTAATGTAATTAATGATCAGACAGATATTTTCACAAGTACTACCTTCAGCGTTTGTAGTAAACTTCCTCAGAGTGCATTAAATGCTGTCCCATTGCTGAAGGATTAGATTTCTTTTCTTGGTGTGAGGAAAGCAATAGCTTCCCACTCTTAGTCCCTACAAGAAGACAGCAGCACAGAGCAAAGTAAGGAAAAAGAGTAGGCCTGCTTTCTTGCAGGAAAACAAGGGTGCTGTGCTTTTGCCACAAAACAAAAGCAGGAAGTATGGTTTTGAATCCAGCTTTTTGTGCAAGTTCTGCCTTTCTGAGCCTTCCCCTCTCAATTTAACTGCAGTGAAAGGTCAGGCAAGGAAACAAAGGAGGGGAGCAGGAACACATCCGATGGACCTGAAACTTCAGGGGAGCACACTGTAAAGCAGTTTCAGGAAGGTGGTATGGCCACAATTTGCAAGTTAACAGAGAAAGATACCTTAGAAGTTCATTTACACCTACTGACTCAAAAGTCCCATGAAGCCCAAAATAAATAACCCAAACCTTCATATTCATGCTTCTGAATACAGTACTTGCCTTGTGGGTCACGATTTTAGGTACATAAAAGCCCATTGGGTCAAGAACACAGCAACAGTTGCTCTGGATCAGCCCAAAGGTCCTTCTGGCCATATGTCACCACCAACAGCAGCCAAAGAAAGATGCAGGAAGAAAAGATTGCATCAAGTTCAGCACTCCCAAGCTGGGAAGGCACTAAGGGAAAGGCTTGTCCTGTTCCTTTTCCCTGCATACCACCTCCTGGCTGCTCTGGGATGTTGTGCAGAGGCTTAGGAGCAGGCTTATAGTCCAGCCTGCCTCCCACAGACAATGATGTGCTGGTCTCCTTCAAAATCTTTAATTAGCACAGCTACTATCCTACAGTTAAATTCTCTAAAATCCCATTTCTCTATTAATCCTATTTCAGTAAGATTGTGAAGACAAACCTCGAGGGAGTCTAATACTGTTGGTAAACATTAATTGATAGTCCAATGAAAGCTCATACCTCCCCTCATTTAAAAACAAACATCCGTGTCAGACTGGATCAAGTAAACAGTTGTTCTGTGAAGCACAATGGAATCAAAGCAAAAGCAAAAGAATCCACAATAGAGCAAAACCTACAAATCTGAAGATAACACATTCATCAGCTGGGTTGTCACAGTAACTAGACAAGCCATAAATTGTCTGGCACCCCACTTAGAAGCAAATTAATGTCATCACTTCTCTGTGAGTAAGGTTTATGGAATAAGTCCAGTAATAACGTCTGTTATTACAGCTGCCCATTATTAGTGAATGCTCGAGTTGTTTGCTGTATTAAACACAACCCCCTTGGAGTTGTTAGACATATCTTTTCTTTCCCTCATTCTCAGAAATGTTTCTATTTCCCTAATCAGAATTTTCTGGAAGATAGAGACAAGCACCTGACAGCTAGATGGGCAACCAGGGTGATTCAGCTGTTTCCCACATCAAGGTAGGCAAAATACATTGCTGACAAGGCCCTGGCTTCCTTGATCTTGAAATGAAAACATGATGAGACTGGGACTAGAAGCAGCTGGACCAGACACCTGGTATGCGAGGGGACCAAGATGGGACAAGCAGCAGTGCATTGTATTTGAGGGACTGAAGAACAGAGTCAGCACCCACAGCTTTATGACTTGGAATAGATTAACAACACACCAGCACAAGACAGGTCTGCTTTCAGCATTGCTGCCTCCTGCTTCCAGCATCGGCTGCCGTCTTAAGTGGCAGCGTAGCAGTGGAACCAGTTTAAGGTGTGGTAAACTAGAGTAGATGGGAGCTTTCAGCTTCAAGGAAAACCTAAGTCTCAGTGCAATATGCTGACAGTTCCCCACCTACCCAGCTTGTCATCCTGAAATTCAGGAATATATAACGAGGCTTCAGTGTCATTTTAAAGTAGCTTCAAAGAAATAAAACGTCAGACACTCCTACTGTTGGAAATACTGAGATCAAAGCATTTCCTCTGTTGGAGCTGGTGTCCCTGTGGTTATCCTACAAGTCTGTAACATTGCCATGCTGCTTTTCCATGGAGGTCGCAGGTAAGGAGGGAATCCTGCACTGCTCAGCAGCTGCTTCCCTACCAGCAACACCACACGCTGTGCAGCTCAGAAAATCACTGTGGTCCCATCTTTGGAGTCTCCACAGAAATTCTAAAGACATCTTGTGCCACTCCTTCCCAGGTTACTCAGCATTACATTTGCTCTCGTTCAGAACACTCCCCCTAATATTTGCCTGCAGAAGAAATATGGAAACCAGTTTATCCCAGGAACCAAAACCACAAGGATGACAGCACTAGAAATTACACACGTTTTGCCTTGAAGGACTAACTTAATTAGCAAAACTGCAACCAGAAGGATTGGTTACTAATCCTGCTCTCCCTTATAGGCTTTTGGCTTTGTTCACCATCTACCATTGTTTTTGCAAGCGTAGTGGAGATCTGATGAGATTGTACAGTACAGAAATCACAAGGGCAATGGGTAAGGCACGGAGCACGTTTTCTCCCTCCTCACCTGAGGAAGGAACTGCACGGCAACTTCCAAGAATCAAAAAGCCTTACTTTTGGCCAAGTGCTGCACGCCTTTGGGAGCAGCATCTCTCAGCAAATCAACAGGAACCATCGGTCATCATTTCACACTGATCCAAGGACAGAGAGGCAGTAAGACGAGAAGGTCTGCATGAAAATTTCATCTTGCACAGTCTTTGCTTCTAGGAGGAGGAAGTAAAACTGTCATCTGACTGTTCCCTACCGACAGCAGCACACCCAGAGTCTCAGCTGGTGCGCATCCTAGGCAGAGGGAAGCGCAGAACAAGCGAAACTTCTCCCCGACCTTCCAGACTGAAGTTTTATTCTAACATGCTCCTGGGAAGAAACAATTATCAAGAAAATCTAAGCAGATTAGGACTATTCTCTCAAAGTGCTGAAGCTGAGGGAAGCCAATACTTTTTATTTTATATTTTAAACCAGGACAACCAAGAGAAGATGATAAAACTGTTTGAAGTTGTAGCAGTAGTGCATTTTCCACCCAAGCAGCAGCCTCATTTCCAACCCCAGCATTGCATAACCAAGAGCTACAGCTTGTGAGCACTCAGAAATAAATTCACATAAATTAAAGGCTAGGCTGATCAGGATTGTTGTTTTTAATAAGCATAAGCATGCTATGAGTCCAGTTCTTTAAGTGCAAAATTATAGTTCATTTGTGTCACACAAGTATTAGAATACAAGATCTAAAACTGAGGCCTTCCTGCTTTTAAAAGAAAGCAAAAAAAAAAGAAAAGAAGAAACTTTTATTTTGTGTTTGAGCTTCTCTGCTTTTTGTGGCTGCCCATAACCCCACACCACCTTAATGAGGACACCTGCAGGGCTTTCTGTAAAAAGAAACTCAATTTCTCTGCGATTACAATGTGGCATTACGGGACTTGACAAAAATTCAGGTTTTTCTCAGCAGACCTTAAAGCAGATTCTGAGAATTTTCAGTGTAACTTTGCAGTTGTGCTGTTCTAACTGCTGTAGAAGCCCTAGAATAGAAACAGCAGTAATGAAGAACCATTAAAAAGAGAAAAATTAACAAATCCAAACCCATCACACCACCTTAATGGCCAAATGGGGAAAATGCTGCAGAGCACTTGGAGGTAAATGAAGGCAGCTCGTTCTCAGATAAAGCAAAACACACTGCTCTCCTGTGT